AACCGGTTAAAATAGATGAATTTAAATCTGGCCGAAATTCAATTTCCGGCCAGAATTAAGATTTTTATGATTGCAAAATATTATCTAACTCTGGCCAAATTTATAGTACTGGCCAAAGTTATTTTTAACCGGTTAGTTAACCGGTTAACAAATATTTTAACCGGTTATTAACCGGTTAAAAAAAATTTTCGGCCAGTTCCAACCTCTACATAACGTAGTTATACTCACTAACTAGCATATTTGTGTGTTATTCTTGAGCAATAGTTTCATGATTACATTTTGGCATAAAATTAAAAGTTACTGTACATAAGGATTTGGGATCATCAAATAGATAAAAAAGTACTTTTTGAATGGTAAGAGCAAAAGTCTATTGATCCATTAGAATATCCAGATTTATCATTCCTTTGCTATTGATTATTGGATGATAATTCTTGTTATTAAATATAAATTGAGTATTAAAATTAAAATTTATTAATTTAAAATAAATTTTAAACAATAAGTAATTCCTGAAAAAATTAAAATAAGGAACTTTCAACTGTTCATCATTGTTGAATTAAGAAAACATGTCCTCGTAGATATTTGAACTTTCAAAGATAATGAATGCAACGGTCTAACAATTTTGTTTTAAAAATTCAAAGAAATTTTTTCAATAGTACCATTAATCAGATCATTCATTTAATTTCGCATTTTAAAATGAATTCAACAAATCAAAATCAAACTGAATATTTTTATTTTACTTTACAAGTAAAAACTTTTCGCTATCACCATATCCAGGTTACATAACAAATATACCAACAGATTTAACCAACTTATCTACCTACTTTATTCAATAAATTTACAACTTCACAGCCATTTACTTGTATAATAACAAACAAATTATACTAGGCTAATTTTAGATGGTTATTATCAATATATACAATTTAATAGATCATTTTATAATATTTGTTTTTGCTGCTAGGGAAATAAAGTAAATAAATATTTTAAGTGACATAGCGAATCCAAGTATTTTGAAATTTTAAAATTCTTTTTTTTATTATATTATTTTAATAGACTTAATAAAATAGGGATATTAAGCGATACTTAACCAGAATAGTAGATATTAAGTCAAGCAATATTTTTGTAAATAACTATTAGAACTTGTTGAAAAGCGTGAAAAATCAGAAAGATCATGTTCAAAATAGTTACTTGAAATTAGATACTTTTTAGATACATGAAAAGGAAAGAAAGAATACAAGATCTTATTGTGTTTGATAAAAAAATGATTTTATTAATTTTATAATGTAACAATATTAATATAATATCAGATATTAATATTCAGATTATTTTAATTGATCATGGTAATTATCATATGATATATTCAAAAATCAGATGATATTTATATTAAAAAATATATCAATGCTGCTATAGTATATAGTAGCAATTGACTATACTACTTTCAAATACTGGATTCAAGTAGAACTAATACCAAAAAAATAATAATCCTAAAATAGAATAAAAAATTTATTTCTTTAAAATATATTTTAAAATATTATATAAAAATATTATATTACGTATTTAAAAAAATTTTTTAAATTCTATTTTTCTATAATAAATAATAATGGCAGACTAAAAAAAAGATGTATTAGTAACAAAATATTTCTCTTATGAAATATACTTTAGAATCTATAAGATACTATTATAAATTTGAGATCATTGAGAAAATCCAATTGCAATAAGTAGGTTGTTTTTACAAAAATCTATTTCTAGTGCTAATATTTTCTAACTTTATTTTTGAATTTAGAAAAAGAAATAATGGAATTTAAAGAAATGGTCTTTATTATATAAGGAAACTTTGTCTATAGTACAAGAAAATAAATTATAAATTATACATTTTATAAACTATTAACTATACTGATAAATAAAATAAGATCTTTAAGCTTAGTATTTCAATCTGTATTTAAATCAACTAGTGATAATATATTTACTAGTAAATAGAATGTGAAGATTAAAAAGATTTTAGTTCAAGATTATTGAAAGATATTACATCTGAAGGTGAAGATAATAGTAAAGAGAAAGAAAAACTAATGACAAAGAATCTAAAATACTATTAACAAAATTTTATCTTTTGACAAAGTAGTTAAACTTAATAATTCAAAATAAAAGTTATCAAATAGAGAATTTATTAGAATAGCCTTTTACAATAAGCATTAAAAATTATAAAAATAAAAGGTTGACTGCTTATATAGTGAGCATTACTAAGTATACTTTTATATATTTTAATTATTATATATATAATTAAAAGATTTATTGAATAAGCTTGAATTGTTTTCTATCATAAATTTATTATCTGAATTTTTAGATGGTATGTATATCTGATTCAGAAAAAAATAGTCTAACTTGTAATAAAAAGTAACAAAGTCAAGCAATATATTACTAATAAAATTAAAACTGTATTTTTGAAGATATTGAAAGATTTAGAACATAAGTAAAATATACAGTTGATTAATAGTTCTAATATTTTGTATACTAATATCATTTTGTATAGATATATTTAAATTATTGATATAGGATATACTAGAATATTTGATATAATGAGAACAATATTTAAATTACAATTTTTTTATCAATATTTTTATCAATATTACGTCTTTAAAATAAAATATAATTGCTTAGTTCACTATCAGGATCTAAATAAGAATTTATTACATTTCAAAAGATTTAAAATATGAATAAATATATTTAGTTTTGTTTTATTATCATATAAGCATAATTGTAATAAATTATTGTGTTTAATTTAATATATTAAATTAAAGTGAATCGTATTATTAAACTAATAATATTTTATAATAATATAATTATTTTTATTAATATTCTATTTTATATCTGTAATAGTATAAATATTAAAAATATTTCTTAGTATATTGAATAAAGTTTTTTTTTATATTTAATCTTATAATAATCAAGCTTTAACTAAAAATTAAGTATTATATAATGTAATTTATTTTATTTTAATATATTAAAGTCATATAATATAAAATAAAATAATATTAGATCATTAGTAGTTATCTAAGGCAAGTAAAACTATGATACTGATTTAATGGATTTATTAAATAAGAACTTTTATCATAAAATGATAAATTGACTTGAATTAATTTCTTGAGTCAGGTTGAAAGATTTAATTAGCTTAGAGTACTAATTAATACTACTATTAGATTACAAATGTTTATAACTGGATAAGCATATAGGTGTTTTGTAATATAAAGGAGAAAATTACCAAAAAAAATTTTTTTATATATTAAATATGAATTATTTAGTAAAATAATCAGATTTAATATATTAACGCAAAGAAAAAATTTTTCGAGGTTTTCACTTTTTCTATTGTAAAAAGCATCCATGTATTCATATAGGATTGAACTTCACTTGATTATAATTCAATAAAAACAGATAATCAGATTATAATTGAATAATAAATTAGTTTTATCAATTAAATGTTAAGTTATAATATTTCAAATTTTATTTACTTTAAAAATATTAAATATGATCAAATATTAAAAATGTCAATTTAAATAGAAATGATTAAAGCTCCCTATCATGTTCAAAGTTTATTTATTTGAACATTTTTATGTGTTAAGATGGGTGAAGATTATTTTCTATAATCACATGAATTAACTTGAACTTCGTTATCATAAAAAAATAATAAATTTTCATTTGGCTGAGTTATCAGCGCCATCAAATTTTTTCGATCTTTAACCTGTAATTTTTCCCGGCGGTTAAAAAAGTAATAGAGCCCTTTACTCTGAACGAAAATATGCCATTCAAAGCTTACAAAGTTAAAGAGTAAAATTTTTACTCGGATTACTTGCAATACGATTTTTCCAATCGATGATTGATTATAGATTTTAAAATTAAATCTTTTGTACTTTAACCAATATTTATAAAAATCCTTATAATATCCCTTACTCGGGATCTCAGTAACCTTCTTTTTTTTTGCACGCGGAATACTATGGCTCAGCTCGAGAATTAGGCTTGGCGTGGCTTGACTGCTTAGCATCAAACATTAAAAGATTTTACATAGTAAATTCTTCGTACTATCTTTAAAATCAAATTAATTTCGGTTTAAAATATTTTAGGAATGCCGGGATAGATTGTCTGGCCTTATAAGTCTCGGCTCACAAATTGAGCAGAATTATCTTGGCTTAGCTTGATTCTGTGATTCGGATTGTGACTCACGAACTGGCTCAGCTCATGCATCAAAATTGATAACTTACGATCATTTATAAATACGCGTCCTGAGAACTTGCGATTCCCATAACCAATAGATCAAAATATTATAAAACATTATTTAAAATCATTCTAATACCATCATGAAAAATCTCATTTTAATACTTGTCATCGTCGTTGTAATCTTCAATGATGTCGTTTTTTCTGCTCCTTCTAAAATGGAAAACACAGAAAACTTGGAAAGAAGGCAAACATCGTGCATACAAACAGATTCAGGGGGGTTATGCAAATTCGCGCAAGCTGTTTGCGAAGGAACTAATAATGTTGAATGTGGAAACGGTTATTGCTGTCAACAAGGACAAAATTGTATGCTTGACGGTAGTTGTGTTGGATAAATAATGAAATTTACTTAACATAATTTGGATTCATATAAATGATTTAAGGAGGGATATTTAATTTATGTTTCATTTGTTGGTTTACATTTCGTTACTTTTTATTCCAAATTATTTAAACATAAATATAATTAGATCAATTATTTTAAAAAATTTAAATTAAAAAAAAATTTTAGTTCGGCTTACTTTTTATTCGAAAGGGAATCAACCGAATAATGTGTGTTAAATTAAATAGTTAGCTCTTTAACTTGGATTCTATTTCGAAATAAAATGACGCAATTTCCATCTGTTATTCGTTAGAAAGATTCTGAAAAGTAGTTGCAATAGAAATCAACTTTCAAATAAATAATTTATTAATGTTTTTAACTATATAATATTATTTAATTCTATATTATAAAAAATATATATTTGTATAGGAACTATTCCATAAAATATATAATTTAATATAGAACTCATTCGTTCAAATTTAAATAACCATGACGTAAATTAATTTTAAATTTTTTAAATATTTTTTTTTTTAATGAATTCACAATTCAGAAAACCGCGCATATTCGAATTTGTTAAACATTTATTTCTCATCACCATCCTATGTAGCGTAGTAGTTAGTTAATTGGTACTAAATTTATTTTGACGATTAAATAATAGCCTGGGCTGGGTGGTTATTTTTGTATCACCCAAATTTAGCGAATAAAAAATTTCTAAAATTTTGATTTTGTAGGTAATTTAAATATTAAAAAAGGGGCGTCGCGCTTATAGATTTCGAACTCTAAAAATTTTAGAGCCAAAAGACAGCACAGCCCAAATAGAAATAAAAGTGGCCACCAAGAAATTGAACAGGCCTAATGGTGAAAATCCTGAAAAAATTTGGTAAATTATTCGCCAAGAACTCTGCCTCGGATAATTAGATTTATAGATTTTGTCCTTATATTTTAAAATGCCCAAATGAGCCATTTTTAAACAACAAAATTAAAATTAACTCGTTTGTGTAACTTATTTTATGACTAAATTTTTGCGATATTCGGTTCCTACTAAATTTTAATTAATCCAATATTCCATCGAAGAAATGGAGAATTTTTACATTTATATAGGAGGCAATTTTATGATACTATTAATTTTTTAGAGGTAGTTAAAGATACTGTATTATCCGGTATTACCCCAATAAAATTTCCTAAAAAATAAATTAGAACAAAGTATGACTTTAACGAGGTCCAGATTTTTTTTTATTGCAAACAATCTAGATATTATGATGTATAAGCCGGATAAAATCAATTTTTTTTCTTAATTTGTCCTTTATATAGAAAAATGGTAATTACGGTATTAGTAACTTATCGTTGTCGCCGGATCCAAGAAATATATAATCACCAAACTAATTTTTACATAATTATATAGAGCTCGAACCAAAAATAATTTCTCTGGTTAACTAACAAAGTTAAGGATTTACGAAAACAATGATAAATCATCCATTTGGATTTAGAAAAAAAAAATATATAAATGTTTTGCAGAAATTCTCTCTTTAAACGATTATTAAAAAGAATAGATTTCTCAGAACAAATATTATTTATATCATTGGAACAAAAGAAATGTTTTATATATTAAACCTCTCCTATTCTTCATGGTATTGTAAGCTTTCTTTAGATCTTGTACCAGTGTCCAAGTTAAAATTTTTATGATTTACCGCAAAAAATAGATTTTACAAAATACTTCTAAAACTTTTGCTATTTAGGGACTTGAAAAGTTGACCAGGTATGAAGGCATCAAAAATTTGGAAATTTACCAAGCTTGATGATTTTGCAAATCTAAAAAATTGTTTAAAGACAAGAATTAGGTCTATAACAAATGACTTTGATAAAGAACGTGCGAATTTAGCTTTACTCATGGAACAATTTAAAGCTGAAAAATTATCAGGCTAACATTTTTGAAGAATAAAGTCCATTTTATTTACGATCATTCAATCAAACTTCGCCGTTAGCTAAGAGCAAACTTTATATGTAGAGGTTTGGAATTCGTTAATGGGTATCCCGATCAAACAATCAGATTAAGAAAAAAAATTTAAGAGTAAAATGAAATATTAGATGCCGTTGTTTAATTAGATCAAAAAAAAAGTTTGAAGGTTCCCACCTCAAGCCAGGTTGTATAACGAATGGTCAATAAAGTCAACTATGAGATTATGAGATTGAATATTTTACAATATTCAGATATGAGATCTGGACACTTTGTTTCATGTTCCGTGACAAAATGAAAATTATCGAATATATTCAAGCAATCATGAAAACAGTCAAGACGATGAATTTAGATTGTTTTTGTGTTGGCGCATTCGCAACATTATCCAAAAATAAGAACAAGGCGAAGTTGTCAACAAACTGGCAGACCAAAAGCTTAAAGAATAAATAAGTAGTAAAGTCAAATCGAACGCTTTCTATTTTTGGCTTTTTGGTGTTTCTATTAATTTCTTTTTCTGATTCAATCGGAGCTTCTGCAACGTCATAAAGATTTATATCGTGGAGACCGATATTTTCGTCAGTTACATTTGATCAGAAGATGCATGAAGGATAATAAGGTGAGAATGATCATGGGAGAAAGGCGATGATGAGTATTTTATAGTAGACAAGGCAACCTTTTTGCAAGGCAGAGATTAAGTTGGGCGTTATACAAGTTGTTCTTCAGCATGATGACATGGATTAGTTTCAGATATTTTATGAATTATATGAATACGAAAATCAGTATGAAGATTAGCTTACGAATGTCCTTTACGGACTGTAATAGAAAATCTTATTGATTATTTTAACAGGTGAGTTCAATGAATCAAGCTTCTTTTAATGAGAATTGCTTAAACATTTTTTATAGTACATATGTACTATTTTTAATCAGTATTAACAGGAAGAATCGTTGAGTACAAAGAAGCTCACTGTTCGAAAACATGATGGGATTTTTTTCTAGATTGGAAAATTTAATCGGAGTTTTACTTCTTGGATTATCGACGAGATTGAGGTCAATTAAGTATTTAAATATGACGCACCAAAAACTTTCATGTGGAGTGCAACTGAAAATATCGATAATTATATTTTATCAAAATAGCTAAAAATAAAAATACTGCACTTACACAAATTGATGACGCAGTATAACTTTATATGAAGTAAAATATCCTACGGAAATGGCCGAATAGCTAGCAAATATTTTTTTACGAGGAGCGTCACATATGTACATGTATACCATTACGATCTTTTATCATTGTACTAGAGATGCAATTAGTCTGGACTTCAAACACTTAATTCATTTCACAAATTATCAATAATTTAAAGACCTTTTATTTTAAAAATAAATTTTCAAAAACTTTTTAGATTAAATTGATTATAAAAAAATATATATATAATAAAAATAAAAGACAAATGATCAGCCCAAAAAGACGAATTAGCTAAAAAATGACCCAAAGGGTATGGGGAAACTAATCTCTAAAGTTATTCAACAAAAATGGAAGAGTTTTTTATCTTCATAATTATTTTTAAAAGAAAATTTGAAAACGACCAATAAAATTATTTGTACCTAATTAGAATAAAAATTTTCCCGATTCAAATTATCACCACCATGTGGTTATTTTTATTAATTATTTCTAAAGTGCTGTGCCTCATACACATATACGGTAAGATCTACATACCTTGTATAACGATAATAGTGATACATATTGTCAAGATTAATTGGTTGAAATAATTTTTTTTTTTTTTTTTAAAAAAAAAGAAAAAAACTTATTTTTTTATGAATTATAACAATGTCTAATAGTAATTATATAGGTAAGAGTATAATAAAGAAACTAAAAAATATTTTAATTAAACAAGAAAAAGGAATAAAAGGTATGACTAAAATGAGTTAATTTGATATTCTAAAATCTTTTTTTTTTTTCATGAATTTACATTAGAGCCAGTTTCGGATGCTTCCTCGTTAAAAGGTAATACATGTCAGTAATAATACTTTTTTATGCTAAAATATTAAATTTTTCAAATTTGAATATAGAATTAGTTTCAATTGATGAAGGTAAATACAACAATTTCTATAAATAATTAACCAATACTAAAAGAATTTTTTAATTATAATTTATAATGTAGAATTAACCTTGGGTAATGAAGGTGAATATAATAATAATCATAATACTGTAATTTGTCATTTATGTTTTATTTACTAAATATTTAATAAACTTAAAATATAGATGAAGGTAGATACTAAAGATGGTCCTTCATAATAACTTTCAAATTTCAACTTATTGCGCCATTAGTAAATTTAATTGCGCTACAAGTTGCAACTCAGTTGTGCCATTTTTTTAATTGCGGTTCCTATCTTTAGTAAATACATTAGTATATATAATTAATCAATAATTATAATAATCTATTAATTATATTCAATAATTGTTCAAATATTAGAAGGATTAAATGGTAAAGAACATTTATAAATTGTCGTAATATTAATTTCAAATTTTCTCAAAAATAAATATATATAAATATTTAATATAGCTTACTTGCTTATTTCATTATTTGTAATATTTAAAGCTTCTATAAAATTAAAAATATATATATTAAATTAAAGAAATTATTAAATTTATTATATTTTATAAATATTATAACAATTACCAATACTTTGACTAATTTCTAAACTTTTAATTTCATAGTCTAAAATTTCATTTAGTTTTTCAGTAAAATCAAGTAAACGATTTGTATAAAAAACTTGTGAATGATTTTTAATATTGCTTAAATTATTATTTTGATTTTGATTTAATACTTTATCTGCTTTATAAAAATCTATAATATTATTGTATAACATATAATCAAGATCTTTACTTTGAATACTCTCAATCCAATTTTTAATAATTATTTTAATTATTGATGCTATTGGCCTTTTTAATGGATCCATATCCCAACATATTTTCATTAAATTGATATAACATTGTGGAGCATTTTCAGTAATTTTAGAACGTTTACCTTTACAAATATCTAAACTAAGTTGAAAATCATGAGCTTCATTATCAAATGGAGGAACTCCAGATATTAATTCCCACATAATCATAGAAAAACTATATATATCACTAGCTAAAGTATATGGATGACCTCTTAAAACTTCAGGTGTTACAAATGGTAAAACACTATAAATTTCATTTTTTTTAGATGATTGAAAATAATCTACAGGTTTACATAAACCTAAATCACTAATAGATAAAATTTTCTTTCGAATATTTAAAATATTACCATTATGAAAATCACAATGAATTAAATTTTTTTGATGTATTTCATCTAGTCTACTAATAATATTATATAATTGCATTAATTTAATAATCCATTTATCTTTAATTATATTTGATAAATTTTTTCTTAAATTACTATTTCTTGCATATTTCATTACTATCATATAATTTAAAATATTTGGATCTTGAATAAATCTATATAGTTGAATAAGATTTTCATTTGAATATATTTTTAATTGACTATAGCATTTATAATGATACTTTCACTAAAATTAATAATAATTAATTTAAAAATTAATTATTTAAAATAAAAAATAAAAAAATTTATACCTCATTTAAAAATTCTTCATTTAAATTTGATGATTTATTAAGACTTTTAAGAATTATATCAGTTTTACCTTTTCTAATCCAATTTTTATCTTTATATAAATTAATATATCTATTTAGCCAAATAGCTTTATATATAATGCTAAATCCTCCTTTATCAGAATATTTTATATTTACAAATTTATTATAAGATATCCATTCTAATATTTGTCTTTTATTTTGAGCATTCAACTGAATTTCTTGAATAAATTTATCAATAAATTTATTTTTACTAGTCCAATTAGAAAAATTTTGTTGAAAGATTTTAGAATTAAATTTTTTACACCATTTATATCCAGTATTTTTTTTATTACAATCTAAGCATATTTCTTTTTTTTTCTAAATAATTATTATATTATTAGTGTTAAATTTATTATTTTATTATATTTTAAAAATAGATATGCTACTTACTAAATTTAATTGATTTATTATATTTAATAAAATTTTATAAATATATATTAAATATTTTTAAATATTTAAAATTTATAATTAAGTTAATTTATAATAAAAATAATTAAATTAATAAAAATAACTTACTATCTAAATTATTAAATATATTTTTAAATAAATAATTTAGTTGAATTTAAATTATATTAAAAGTATAATTAAATACTATTAATTAATAAAAATAACGTACTATCTATATTATTAAATATTTTTAAAATAAAAAGATTAGTAAAATTTAAATTATGGTAAAAAGTATAGTAAATATTGAAAATAACTTACAATCTATATTTTTTAAATAAAAATTAGTTAAATTTAAAGTATAATAAAAAGTAATTGAATACTAATAATAACTTACCATCTAATTATTTTAAAATAAAAATTTAATTATTTAAATTATAAAAAAGTTATAATTAAATATTAATAATTGAGAATATAACTTACCTTCTAAATTTTGAATAAATTTAAATTAAAATTTAATTAAAGTTAAATTATAATAAATAATTAAATATTGATAATTATGAAAAATACTTACAATCTAAATTATTAAATATTATTAAATAAAAATAAAGTTAAAATTTAAATTATAAAAATAATATTAAATACTTACAATCTAAATTGTTATATATTTTTAAAATTAAAAAATCAAATAATTCAAAATAATAAAAATGTATTATTTAATCTAATAATCAATTAAAATAACTTACTTCCTATAATTATATTTTATTTTATATTAAATTATTAGTATAGTTTAATTATAATAAAAAGTATAATTAAATACTAAAAATTAATAAAATTATCTTACTATCTAAATTACCAAAAATATTAATAAAAAATTTAGTTTTAAAATTATAAGAATTAATAAATTAACTTACAATCTAAAATATAATATTTTTAAATAAAATTTTAATTAAATTTAAATATAGTAAAAAAATTTAATTAAATAATAATATTAAATATTAATAAAATAACATACTATCTAAATTATTAAATGCATTTTTTTTTAAATAAACATTTGAGATTACAGTAAAAATGATAATTATTTCATTTATATAATTTACTTTCTATAATATAAATAATATATTAATATTATTTATAAATTAATGGTGACATTGTAGTTAATGTAATTAATAAATATAACTTACGTTCTTTAATATTTTAAATATAATTTAGTTAGTTTAAGTTATTTATAAACAATATAATTTTTAAATATTAATAAATTAATTAAAATAACTTACTGACTAAAAAATTATACATAAATATAGTATTTTAAATTAAATTATTTACTTTTAAATTACAATATAATTAAAATAAATAACTTACTCCCTATAGTATTATTGACCGTTAGAATTTTTTTTAATTGAATTAAATTTATATAAGATAAAGTATAAAAAACTTACAATCTAAGTATCATATCATTGACATTAAATTTATATTTAAAAAAATAAAATAAATTAATTATTAAAAAAATATAATAGATAAATATACATTACCATTTAATTCTTTTAATGTAGGAGTATCAGAAGTATCTGGAATCAAAACTGTTGTGATTTATTTAAGAACAAATTTAATTATTAAAAATTACAGCTTAATCTGGTAATTGTATAATATAAAAACTTTTAAATATAAGAATTGAATATATTAATTAATTATAATTAATAGATAATAAATCTATTTATTACCTTCATCATTCAAAGCGGTCATAAAAGAAAATCAGGATAATGCTTAAAAATAATTTCGTCAATATTCTTACCTTCAAACATAAATATTTATAAATGTATCGCAAATTTTTAACGATAATAAAAAAAAATTACGAATTAATACTTACCTTCAAACTTGAAATTGTTATTGTCAATTGAATCCGGTTTTTGCTGTTAAAATACAAATTGAGGATCGTTTAATGAATTATAGTATCTGGTTAGAAATGAGTTGTATTTATCTTTATTATTTGAAACTGGTTCTCATTTGTTACATTTTAATTCTTCTATTGAAGTAGTTTTCTTAACTTCCGAAGCCCGCTCTAATTTTTTTAAAAAAGAAAATTATTTTAATAATAAACTAATGATATATTTGTTTAGGTAAATTTACATTTTACCTTTATCGTTCCTGTCAGTCATTGTAAAAGAAACAAAACTTTTGTTAAAATTTAATTGTCATCGCTTTTTTTTAAGGTTAATATTTTATGTATTGTCAACAACAAAAGAGCTAATTGGAAGTTATTCGGCGCTCAAATAGAGCACTACATCTTAGTTCAACAATAACAAATGCTGTATTTCAATATCATTTGATCTACGGTTGTGCAAGCAATGATCTGCAAGACTCCTTGGGCAAAACTTAACATTTTTCAGGTGGAATTATATCATATAACCTCTTTAATAGTTAATTATCAGGATGTTTAGAACCATATAATTTCTGTACCTTTCAGTTTTGCACGAGAAACTTTTCCATAAGTACCGCTATTGATTGCTCTCTATTAGTGACTCATCAAAACTATAATATTTCGATATCACTTTTTCTATCAGCGATTGAATTACGGTAGTTGGCATTTTTAAATTTTTTCTTTATTTTTGATAATGAATAAACTGATTCATCAAAAAACTCGTATACGGAATATAATTAATTTATCTTGTAATTTAATTTTTAATAATTAGAACCTTTCTTGACCAAAGAATGAAAAAGTTTGTGCTGGTGAATAATCCACTAAGTATAATCACAAACAAATTTTCCAAAATCTGAACGGTTTAGCCAACGTAAAATAATCATAAAAATAACTAATTAGACAGGTATATAAACATAAAACAAGTTCCAAAACCTTAAATGTAGTAACGAATAAATATAACACAAAAAATTCTATTCTCACTGCTCTTTATCAAAAGAAGATTGTTAATTTAATTATTTTGAATCATCAATTATAATAAATGTTTACATTCAATTAGTGACCGATTGCTATTATATGACAAAAAGTTATATACTAATACTACATTAAACATAAAACTTATTATATTATTTCTTGCTAATATAAAAAAATCTTAAACGGTTATTTGAGTTTATTTATAATAAAATACTAATTAAATTGATGCGTATCTGTTGTCGAAACCCATTTGTTTAAGATATGATGTTTCTATTAGCTTATATTTTTTTTTTATTTTATTTAAAAATTACCTTGAGAAAATGAAAAGGTTTATTTATAAAAAAATTTTTATAGAAATTTATGACAATGTAAAGAGTTGATGGTCGATTTTGAAGAAAACTTTAATGTTTTGTTGTATATGAAATTCTGATCTCAACTCTACCTCTTGAATATTTTATTGAGTACTGGTCCAATAAATTTGTGCTTATATTCATTACAAGCTCTCAATAAGATAGTTCTAAAAATTATTTAGTAATTAGAAAGTTATATTATTAATTGCGACGCAGTAGAAAAATAATCTCTGTAACGATAACAAGTTAATTTAGAAACTGAATATAGAGCGTGTTGATATCTTTAAATATATAGACATGGCGTCCAATATATGTAGTGTCGGGATAATGATATCAATATTAAATATCAAATTCAAATTCTTTTGTTGTTTATTACGTCTATCTGTAAATCATAACGTATTTGATTATTAAACTTTTCTTTGAATTAGTATAATTTGATCATTATTTTCAATCTGATCACCTTCTCCATCAAACTTTCGTTTACCTTCTTTTTTAAAAAAAAAATGTATAAATTAGTGATAATTGATAAGAGTTTTAAATAATATATTTATAAATGCTTTTCAGATAATAATTAAATGATCTTAAATAATTTATTCATTTTTCAATCTTTTTAAAACAAATTAATTACCAAAAAACTGAAGAAACAGATTGACTTCGTAAACTTCCTCGTGGATTCTGCGGATTTTATCATGCTACTTAAAGATCTACTCTTATTGATAGCGGATTGTTTGTGCTTATAGGTCTAATTTCTGATGATTCTACAATTCCAGTTGGATTTGTTCTTTTATCATTTTGAATGTATTTATAACTCTCTGGCCTTTTACTTGGATCTGTGTCCCAATATTGTTTCATTAGCTGCATATAACCTTTAGGTGCGTCTATATTACCAATAAAGGACGTAACCCATCAATATCATGAGCACGATCCCAAAAAGGACTTTTACGTGTCATACACTCCCACATAATCATACCAAAACTGAAGCCATAGTATATTATTGTCTTTTAAGAACCTCTGGCGCCATATAAGGAATAATTCCATAGATTTCATTATTTATAGCTTAGTAGAAGGTTTGCTCAATCTTAAATCACCAATTCTTACTTTTTATTTTCTATCAAATATTTCCACTATGAAAATCACGATGGATGATTTTCTTTCTATGAATGTCATAAAGGCTTAGTGTGTAGGGCTATAAGAGAAAATTCCAATGATTTTTAAAAATTTAAAAATTGTTGGAATTTTCTCTTATAGCCGTACACACTTACTGTAATTTGGTTAAATGTTCTAACTTGACCAATTAACATTAAAAAAAATCATTAGCTATTGATATAGATCTTCAGAATCACTATATTCTATAATTTTTACAAAATCTTTGGTAAAAGGAACTTGCGTTATTCCATAATACCGATTAATATTTACGTCCTTGTTTTAATTAATAATATATTTGAAGCTGAAAATGTATTGAATTAGCACATTGATATAAATAAATAATAAATAAAAATATGTACCTCATTTAACTCCTTTGAAGTAAATTTTCTAGAATTATTAAATTTCATAAGAGAAATGCCTAATTTGATTTGCTCCATTTCATAATTTGACCATCAATTCAAGTAGTTTTATAAATCCTCCCTCACCAATTAATCCTATGCCTCTGAATCTTTCATATGAAACATATTCCATTTTGCCTTGATAAACAAGATTAAAACCGTCAATAATTTCGTTTCCGATTAGATTAAAGGTTATATTTGTTTTATAACATTTTCGACAAATATTATGATATTTCTTCGGAAGGTTGCCTTCTTTTATTATATTCAATACAACTCTCAATCTATTTATAGGCTTTAATTTACCCATGTTTTGCATTTGCTGACTTGAAGTGTCATTTGATATTAAAAATTCAATTTTAAGTTTAAAGTTAACCACAGTTTGCATTTGTTGATTTGATGAGACATTTACAAGTAAATTTACGTTTTTACATTAGTTAATTGATTCATGATTATTATAAAATTCGTTTCAGCATTCAAAGCACTACCTATTATTATAAAATATATCCATTCCATAACTTTTAGAAAAAGAAGTTTCTTCATTATTTTCCACGGATGTTTCATTATTTTAGGCAATAATTTTTTATGGAGGAAGACTTGATATGCATTTTATGCGGTGGGTTGTAACAATAACCTGTGAAATGATTTGTCACTTATTTGTAAAACCCACATGGTTTCGTTAAATTTTTTTTATGATCAATTTCCATATACTCTACTCTTCAGTTTTGTAAAGCCATTTATGTGGCAATATTTTCGAGAATTATGATCGTGATTTCCTGGTTTTGGCAACGTTGCAGAACAATTGAACATTATATTGAATTAATGACTAAGGTATCATTTTATTGTTATTATGTAAAAAACTTTTATTCAGAGCAAGTTCTAACAAAATTTTTTTTCAAATGAAATCTTTATCGTTAATTTATTGTTAAAGAAATTATTTTTTTGTATTGATCAATAGAATGAACTATAAAGTTAGAACTCAATTTTTAAAAACGATTTTTTTAGTTAAATATGAATTGGTATAAATATCGCTTCCTATTATTATATAACATTTAATGAAAACTGAAAGAATCTATAAAAGAAGCCAATATTCTATCAATAATAAGTCAAAGCAGCGAATTTGAGGATTTAAAATCAAGAGAAAACTTAAAGAAAATGCTTGCCTTGTCAAATTAAGTTTGTATTAATACCTGATGTTGAACCTTACTAAAGAAATTTTTAACTTTTATTTGATTTATTATTTTATAAATAGCAAACTATCGATGATACTGCTGAAAAGTCAATATTTTATTACAAACATACCTATCAAATGCTAATATTGAAGATTTTGTTTTAATATCTGATTCTGCGTATGTGGTACAGATTACAAGTCGCATAATTCGAAATTGTTTTAAACCGTAACTGGGCTCAAGTTTCATCCATTTTATTAGAATTATGTAAATGTATTGACAATCGAATGTGGACGATTGAGAATCCTTTGACTCAATTCAAACTTCCTTGAGAAATTATGAAGCTTCAACTAATTCCCTTCATTAAAGGACATGAGAGATATGTCCTCGGCTGAACTTGGACAATTAGTTAGGCAGAATTAATAGGCACTTATATTCTAAATGTGTAGGCATGTTTCCAAAGCTTAAATTGGAAGCACAAGTTACGCTATTACACGTAATATTCTACGAGTAACTCCTAGTATTACTCATGATTTCGTTTGGAATGATCGTAACACGGTAAAGTCAAGGATTCTGAAAAAATGTTGAATTATATCATTCAGTATATTAAACAGGAAGCAACTTGATGAAACTCAAAAGATTAGGTTCGCAATTCCAATTCAAGATTTACTTCCTAAATTATATATTCGTGTCATATCTAAAACACCCTAAAAATTATCAACAACATACAAAATTGTTGAATTTAATTACCTGTAACTGCTCTTAAAAATAAATCACTTGAAGAGATATGTTTTAAGAGATTTATTCATTTCAATCCATGTACAGATCAGGTATTTGAACCACATTATAATTCTTCAACAAATGTATTGATTGGCACGCCTACAGGAAAACCGTAAGTGAACGAATTGACACGATTTTCAGCATCATACATTTACACGCACTTGTCTGGCTCCTCTAAGGTGGGCATTTCGTGAATATCCACGTTCAAAGGTAGTTTACATCGCTCCATTATATGTTATTATTGGCAAGCTAGATGAACTGGTCCAATGTAAAAACAACTTGTAGAATTAACAGATGTAACCCCGATTTGCGTTTTATTGAAAATGCCCGATATTTTTATTACAACAACCGAAAAAGTGGAATAGTATAAGTCGTAGTGGCAACATAGAAATTATGTTTAAGATTTATCACGTGATTATTGATAGTAACTTCACGGGTAATCGCCAGTTACTATAGCAATGCATTGGTGGATTTTGCCACTTCGTGGCAAAATATCCAATCAATGCATTGGTTACCGTGAACTGTGTAGTAATCTTAGATAACCCGTGAAGTTACAATATAATTATTCAACCCCGTGTTTATTATAAAATAAAATATTATTTTAAATATTATTCTTTAAAATTTAGTTGACTTTAAATTATAGTAATAAGTATAATTA